TGTCTGTATACGCTCAATCTCAGCTCTCACTGAACCGATTTTGATGAAAAATATGTCAAAAGATCACAAATCGTATCTAGTTGAAGACATTACCCTCAAAAATTGAAAAAAAATCCCTCTATCCTCGTAAACGGGGGAAATCCCCCAAAAAATTACAAATTTAGAAATCGCTAATTTTCGATATTTTTTCATTTTTTTTTACTTAAAATTGCCATAACTTTTTAAAAATGACCGAATCAATATAATTTTTTTTTTTATAGATACCTTAGATAATTACCTATCATTTTATATATTTTTGTGAACATTTGACCCTTTAACAGCCCAAAGGATGGGGTTTCAAAATGGTAACTTTTTTACAAAAAATTAACTTTTTCAACTTAACTTTTGAAAATGTTCCGGAAAGACTGACAATTTTATATATACCTTAAATTAAAGCTAATGTAATATACTTTAATTTGAAAAAAAAAAATTTGACCTCTGGACTTGTCTTCATGGTGAAAATGACTACCGTATGCAAAAATATGCTATTTTTGTGAAAAAATTCTTGATATTATATTTTACATTTTTTAACATTATGTTGCTATAACTTTTTAAAAAATGCATGAATCAACTTTATTCTTTAATGATAAATACTTTATATATACTTCTTTCATTCGACATACTTTTTTTTAAAATCGGACCATTTCCCTTTATACAGGGGGGGTGCAAACCTTTTAAAATGCGTATAGAAAGTAGAACTTTTTCAACTTAACTTTTGAAAATGTTCCGGAAAGACTGACACTTTTATATATATCTTAAATTAAAGCTTATGTAATATACTTTAATTTGAAAAAAAAAAATTTGACCTCTGGACTTGTCTTCGTGGTGAAAACGGACATCAAAGTTAAAGAAAAACGTACGATTTCCGTGAAAAAAATCTCGATTTTATATGTTATATTATTTAATTTATATTTTATATAACTTTTGGAAAAATGTATGGATCAATATTATTATTTTTTTATAATAAATATTTATATACCCCTTTCATCTGGCACGCTTTTTTTGTAAATCGGATCATACCCCTTTAACAAGGGGGGTCAAAACTTTAAACATGCGTATTGTTACTAAGATATTTTCAATTTAATTTTTGAAAGTATTCCGGAAATACTGACACTTTTATATATATCTTAAATTAAAGCTTATGTAATATACTTTAATTTGAAAAAAAAAAATTTGACCTCTGGACTTGTCTTCGTGGTGAAAACGGACATCAAAGTTAAAGAAAAACGTACGATTTCCGTGAAAAAAATCTCGATTTTATATGTTATATTATTTAATTTATATTTTATATAACTTTTGGAAAAATGTATGGATCAATATTATTATTTTTTTATAATAAATATTTATATACCCCTTTCATCTGGCACGCTTTTTTTGTAAATCGGATCATACCCCTTTAACAAGGGGGGTCAAAACTTTAAACATGCGTATTGTTACTACGATATTTTCAATTTAATTTTTGAAAGTATTCCGGAAATACTGACACTTTTAAATATATCTTAAATTAAAGCTTATGTAATATACTTTAATGTGAAAAAAAAAAATTTGACCTCTGGATTTGTCTTCATGGTAAAAATGACTACCGTATGCAAAAATATGCTATTTTTGTGTTAAAATTCTGGGTTTTGTATTTTATTTTATTTTAAAATACCTGACAAGGGGAGTACAGATTTTCATAAATATTATATAAATTAAAATTGATATAGTATAGATAGTTAAACTTATTTAAATATGTTTGTTTCTTTTAAGTCGAGAAAAATAACTTTGAAATTTGAACTAGCTTAAATAGCCAATTTTTCAACCGCCGGAAGCAACGTACGGTTGCCGAGTTGGTAAAATTTATGTTTTACACGCTTGGGGTACGAGGTTCCAACCCGCATATGGCAATGAATTTTTTGCATTTTTTCTTAATTCTTTTTAAGTTAGTATAAATTTTAACTCGTTTGATTTTTATCACATTTAGATTCAATAACTTCAATAAAGATCAAGGATCCCATCACTTTAGTCGCCCCTTGCAAGAAGAAATTTCTTATTCGTATTAAAATTATTTTACTATATTTTAAGTTTTCGCTTCGATGCAAAGCCGAGAAGATATTTTTTTGTGACTATCATTTATTTTCTCTGCTCTAACTTGACCTACTTTTTTCAACAATACGTCAAATTACTACAATTCGTATCTAGTTGAAGATATTACTCTCAAAAATTGAAAAAAAAATTCTAATTTATCAATTAAACAGTTAGTTATTACATCGTCTCCATAAAGACAATTAAAATCATTAATTTCTAATGTTTTCAAAATATTTATTAACGAATGAAGTTTGATATGATAGGTTTCAACTACAAAATTAAATCATTTTACTTTGTAATTTAATAATTTTATTACTCTGTTTGTGTGTGCTACTATTAGACTATAATATTCAAATTTTTTTCTAACGTGTTGCTATATAAATCATTTCTAAAAAAAATGATTGTTTTTTCTCCTGAATTAACAATTGATTTTTACAAATATAATCAAATTTTATAATAAACTCAATTGAGTAAATCTTTTTAACAACTTTGTTTTGATTGGTACATTTAGTTAAAGTAAATCATTAAAATTAATTAAGTTCTCAATATTTCAATTATAGAATCTTTTCAACAAACAACAAAAGTTCCTAGGAAATTATTACTATTACTTCTATTTAAGTTATCTATTACCATAAAAATGCAAAAAAATATTGAGCTTTTCTGATAAATTTACAATAAATAGTAATTATAAAACTTTCTGACTGCATATTGATCTTAACGATACAATTTTTTTAATTGTCATAAAATTTTCTATTTAATTATGTCAATGTCAAACTTACCAATTGAGCTAAAAGTTATGGTAAAATAAATTTTTTTTTTTTTTTATAAACATTTACAACAATCAACTTTAAACGATTAACAAAATTGGTTAAATATGTCATTTTCCTTATTTTTAACTTATTAATAATCAAATTAATATTAAATATTATATCAAATCAGTATTAATTTAAAACAATTTTTTTTGTTCTTAATTATTTTTTTTTATATGTAAAAACTATTTTTTAATAATATTAAAACTTAGAAGTTATAGAAAAAGTCTAATTGCACATTTTAAAACATCGCGAAAAGTTGATTTAGAATAGTATATTTTTGTTTCTGATGGAAGTTCCTTGTAGTCCAGTGTATAAAACTTATAACTTTGTTAATTGTTATAACTTTATCAAAAATGACCAAATCAGTATATTTTTTTTTATTTAGATGCATGTCTTTATCTATCATTTGGTTTTTTTTATAAATCTAACCCTTTACCTGCCCACAAGAGGGATTCAAAATATTAACTTTTTTTTTTTTAGTTAAAGTAAATCATTAAAATTAATTCAGTTCTGGATATTTCAATAGTAGAATCTTTTTAAATATCAAAAATTACTTAGAAATGATTACTATGATTTCTATTTAAGTGTTCTATTACGATAAAAATGCAAAAAATAATGAGTTTTTCTGATAAATTTACAATAAATAATAATTATAAAACTTTCTGACTGCATATTAATCTTAAAAATAACATTGTTTTAATTCTCATAAAATTTTCTATTTAATGATTCATTCTAGTCAACGAAGGAGTAATTTTGCAGAATAGCAGAAAAAATTCCCAACAAACTTTTTTTTTTTTTGTTTTAATTAGGCAATTGGTGGATTATTCCAAAAGCAACATCAACTCTTATTTCTTTAATTATATCATGATTAGTAGTTCTTTGATTTTAAAATATAATATTTGAATATATACTAATTATAATTATTAAATTTAGTATGAAATTGATATTTAATATTGTAATTTAAACGGAGAAATTATAAAAATAATAAAGAAGTTATATTTTGCTTTACTTTTACGTGTATAAAAATTTAAAGGGCTTGATACAATAATTTTCAATAAAAACTGTTTGTTACTATAAAAAAATGCACTGGACTACAAGGAACTTTCATCAGAAGCAAAAATATACTTTTCTAAATCAACTTTTCGCGTTGTTTTCAAATCTGCAAGTAGACTATTTCTATCACTTCTAATTTTTTATATTATTACTAATTATATATATAAAATAATAATTAAAAGAAAAAAAAATTTGTTTTCAAATTATTACTGATTTGATTTTTAATATGTTAAAAATAATCAGTCCAAATTTTCAATTTTAACCTATTTTTTTGGTTCTTTAAAGTTGATGAAAAATTTTTGATAAAGATTTATGAAAGTTTATAGTAAAATAAATTGAATATATTACCATAACTTTTAGCTCAATTACAAGTTTAAAATTGACATCTAGGCCAGTCAACAAAGGAAAAATTGCGGAAAAAATTTTGTTTTTTTAAAAGTTGAATTAAAATATGTATAATGACATACTAATAGTCCTCAAGATTGGAATTGAGCTTTTTTTTTAAATCCTCGCAAAAGTTCAAAAATATGAGCTTTCTTAATTTTCTCAAAAAAAAATATTTAACTTACAAAAAAAAGTTTCGCACAAAAGTTGTTTAAAAGACAATTATAAATAAAAATATAATCTTATATTTTTTCATTTAAACAAATATTTTTCGAGTTACATTACATTTAATATGAGTAATAAAATTTATATTCCATTTTTTTCATTTTACGGTTACTTTTTATCATGTTATACTTACATTAGACACAATGTTATAAATGCATATGTGTGTATGTGTCAGTTTATTTATTTATTGTATCATTAAAGTGTAGTGTATATTTAAAGTGTAGTGTATATTTAAGTTTGTCAGGTGTCAATTTAAATTGGTTTCCAAACATATAAATTTTTAAGAAATATATTATTTTAGCCATCCATCTAGCTCGATGAAAAGCTCCAGGAGATCTAAAACGAGATTTTCCCAAATGTTGCTTTCCAACACACAATAAAAATAACTCCAATAATTCTTTGTAATCATCACGTGAATGATTAATTTTAAGTTGCTTTTCACAAAATTCAATAATATTTTGTACATTTGATTTTATTTTTGTAAACAATTCATCATCTGTAATCATAGTAATATATGAATCTTATATATATCCAATTACTTGAAAACCGTTTAAATAAAACTATATCTGATCCAGTGGACGGTGGCATTAGCTTATCAAAAACTCGACTAATGATTATTTCGTGTATGTGATGCCTGCATGGAAAATTCGGTAATTTCTTATCTAATTTACTCTCTATCTAAGTGCATGCACCGTTTAATCTTCCTGTATTAGAAACCGTAGTGTCAAAACACATCATAGTGGTGCGATCAACTAAATTCCAGTCTAATAATAATTTTACAACGGCATCTGCTTGTGATTATCCGGTTGACTTAAGTAACTGTGGTACACCAAGAAGCTTTGTATTTCCGTCGCCAGACACTATTACATCTAATCTTTCGACAAATTTTTTTTTATCAGATGGTAACATTTTCCCATCCCAATGGACGATTAATGTACAATGAGGTTTAAATAAATTTAATATTTCTTCTGATATAATTTTCCTATCACTAATACGAGCTCTTTTTATTGTGTCTTTGCTAATTGATACGTTTTTTATTTCTTAATCTGAATTTGTTAAAGTCGCTGCTAAAATATATGTGGCATTTCGATTAGATACGTTAGTTCTATCAAGCACCGATGTTAGTTGTGGTGTCATAATTTTTAAATGTGTTTTACTTGTTGTTGGTTTTTCAATATCGCATTCAAATTTTGAGTGACTTGTATTATAAGAGCTATCGTCGGTACTGATAGACTTTCTAATTTTTTTCGTGTGCGACGTTCAAGTTCTTTAAACACAATAGTTTTTTTATTATTTGGACGAGTATTTTTGGGTAAAACTTTTTTGAAATTTGGAATTATGGCCCTAGAGCAACTCTTTTCACGCTGAGCAACAAGGTAGTCCTTCTCTTCTTTTGACAAATCAGAATTTAATGCATTAGCATGGCTAATATCGAATGAGTAGTTTAATGACTCTACAAACGCGGCTTCGTTATTATTTTGAGTAGTACTAATTCTATTTTGATTTTTATTTATATTTATCCATTTAGTATGGAGTTTTTTTATTTGTGTAACTATGTGACAAGTATGCTTTATTAAAATATTTGTTTTTGACTATATTTCAATCAACTGTGTCGTACAAATTGAAGCAATAACTGATATTGCCTTTTTGTTAACATTATTAAAATATAGAAAATTATAGAACTTCACATTTTGATGGAAGTCGATTACCAACGATCCTCTTAATTGGGGTTATAACAAACTGATAATTTTTTGACTTAGCACGTTCATAATTACTAAAATAAAGTTATTTAAACTTTAGCCGTTATTAAATAATTAAGTAGGTTAAATTTACTATTAAACACTTTCAGCTTATAAATTATCGCACTAAGTATTTCTATAAAATAATATAATAAAACTTTAACTTACTTACTGCTACTTTCTCGAAGTATAAAAAAAATTTATATTTGTGAATTTTAGATGAAATATAAGAGATAAATTTGATTAAAATGTATGAAAATGCTGATCTACGGGTACACAAAAACTTTTAAAAACATATGTAACTACTTGTGAACAATACATCAGACACTGTAACAATTTTATCATCAGAAAAAAGGTGACTTAATGATTGATATCTATATTGTAAATTATAAATTTATGATTATTTAATCGATAAATAGCATGTATGGTTATTTTTCTGCCTTAATACCGCGTAACGATGATATATTTATTGTTAGAAATCAATAAAGATAAAATCAAAACTTAGTTTTAAAAAAATGTTAAAATAAGGTATTAATTTTTATTATTAGTAAAAATTTTACACCATATAATAAACACAACAATTAATTTAACTTTCAATTTTTCAAAACTTAAAAAAAAATGTTGGCCCCTTTCAGATCAATTCGAAAAGTACCATATACTTAGACGTTTAGGTATATTACGTAATCAATTTAGAAATTAAAAAATTATAAAATCGTTTTCTACGTTAAAAATACAACATTTTACATATACTAATGATTATAATTGTTCAAAATTTAGAAATTTAATAAATAAGGGGTATTTTTGGTAAAAATACGAAAAACGCTTTGAGCGACCTCTAAAATTTTTATTATCGATCTCAATTTTCAAAACATGTTTTTTTTTTATATACTTAATAAATCTAGGGGGTGTCTGATAAAATTTTTAAGGTCGATTTTTTTTGCGCCACCCTTATCCCCATCTTTTATATTTATTAAATGTCTAGAATTCTGAAGAGGTAGTTTTATCTACCTTTAAATCACCCCCCTAAGGTGATGTCTTAAACACGTTATTGGTAAGATATAAGTCAATATACGATCCGCGAAAAAACCCTTATTTTTAAAGATTATGGCTCCAGTATTAATATTTCTGAAAATAATAATTCTTAATCTGTTTTAGGTTTTATAAATTAAAAGTATTTCGTATGAAGGGTCAGCATTTAGTTCCTGTTCTTATTCCTGCACTCAATTATTATTTAAAACTGGAGCATTTATTTGTTTCCTCCTAAAAGATACAATAATAAACTTCATCGCTTCTACCTCTTATATTTCCAAATATTTTTAATACAATATGTTTTTTAATAATAATTAATCTTTTAATAAGCATCAAAAACAAAAACATACTTTTTTCATAAATAATTGTATATATTTAAAAAATAAACTTATCAAAGAAATTAATATTAAAATTCATAGCTTAAATAAATATTATTTTTAAAAATATCACTTACCACATACTCCATCGACAGAAATAGTAAAAACGTAACCATAAATATCAAATGACTCGGTATTGTTCAGTTCTTTTTGAAGATTACATATGAGAGCTACACTTTTTTCGTTGAAAACTGACAAAAATGTACTGATGTGAGAGTTGTTAAAAAAAGGAGAGATAATTCGTCGATGCAATTTCCATTTAGGAACTGAAAGTAATTATAAAAAATCTTATATTATATAAAAGTAACAATATTCAAAAATAAAAATTCATTTCTTTATAAAATTGGTCCTTTGAGAATTGAATTACAAAAATTCTGTTTTAACTATTAATATTAAAATAAACTAACACAGTGGAGTCGTGGCACAGTGGGGATGTGGCATAGTTGGATCAAGTATAATGATATCTGACAGAGATTAAAATCACTGTCATAAAAAACGCTTCGATGCAAATCTGTAGATAATGTTTAATTTTAAAAAATTGGTGGATTATTCCAAAAGCTACATCATCTGCTAGTTCCTTGTTAATATCCTGATTAAGATAAAGTATGTCGAATGAAAGAGGGATATAAATATTGTCTCTCATAAAAAAATTGTGTTAATCCTATACACTTTTCAATAAGTTATAGCATTATAAAGTTAGAAATGTAAAATATCAAATCAAGAATTTTCACACAAAAATAGCATTCGGTAACTATTTTCACCGTGAAGACAAAGTAAAGTCCAAAATTTTTTTTCCTGTAATATACTATTACATTATCAGTATAACACATTATTAGTATATTGCATTATTTAAGATGAGTAGATATGTATAAAAGATTTAAGATATGATATAATTAGTTTTAGTTATTATCGAGGTGGACATAATGCATGGGCATTCAGACTTTTTGGTCCATACTGCGCACTTCATACCGAATTGTCTTAATTCGGTTTACCCATCTAAGTGTTATCACCGAAGTGTTAATATATTACCAACCATAAAGTCACCTCTACAGAAGAGTCCTGTCTTTCTGGCGAAATTAAGTATCTCTCTGGGTTTTAAGTTTTTAATATCTTCTTTTTCAGGAAAAGGTTTACTCAAGTAGTTTGATCTTAGTGTGGACAAGGCTTCACATTCGCACATGATGTGAAATGAGTCTTCCTCTTCTACTCCACACTTCTTGCACAATGGTGATTCCGATACTCCCATTGCGTTAAGATGTTTAAGCAGATGACCATGTCCTGTCAGTAGACCAGTCAGGGTGCTTATTTGATGTCTAGTTATGCTATTAAGATCACCCAGCAATAGACCAGGGGTCTTGATAAACATTTTAGATTGTTTAGGTACTACCAAGTACTTCTAGATTTTCCTGTGTTGTTCTCTGCACCAATTCTTGGGTAGCGCTTTGAGCGATTGCTCAGTGAGTCCTACCACTGGTTCTGGTCCAACATAGGTGTTCTCTGCTCCTTTCCTGGCTAGAAAGTCAGCATTCTCATTTCCAGTGACACCGTTGTGTCCCGGTACCCACGCTAGTGTAACTTTGTTGAACCTCGATAGTGATTCTAAAGTTTCCCTGCATTCGAGGACCAGCTTTGAATTCCCCTGATCGTTACAGAGTGCTTTCAAAGCCACTTGACTATCACTTAAGATAGTTATCTTCCTATTTTTGTATACCTGCAGGTTCTGAGCCCCTATCAGTATCACCATCACCTATGATGGAAAACAGAGGGTGTTGTGCCCAATGACATACTGACATTTATTCGTGGCTTTAAACCCCAAATTCCAGCACCTACCTTTCCTGATTTTTTGGATCCATCTGTATATATCACAAATCCTCCTTTGTCAGTCAGGTGGTTAATATTCCATTCTCTACGTGTAGTGATCTCCACTTTGTAGGGAATGTTATTCTTAAGAACCGGTTTGATATAGTCCAAGGGGTGTTCTAAAAAGCCCTGGTCTATCTCTTTTAGTATTTTACCATGTTCTGTTGTATCACTGTCCAAAGTCCACATACCTAAGTTGTGGAATCTTAGTGCTGTAGCTTTGACGTGAGCTTTCACCTCTAAATGCAGAGGAGGCAATCCAATTAGTGCCTCTAATGCGACCGTTGGTGTAGTTCTTAATGCTCCAGTGATGGCAATGGCAGCCATTCTCTGTATGCGACTAAGTTCTTTCCTAGCTGTAATGAGTGCTGTTCTGGTCCACCAGACTAGGGCACCGTACAATATCATAGGTTTAATCACTGACGTGTACAACCAATACATAACTCTTGGTTTAAGACCCCATGTCTTTCCCAAGGCTCTGCTGCAAGTCCACAATGTGGTCATTGCTTTTTTGATTCTTGACTCAACATGTGATTTCCATTTTAGCTTACTATCCAAGATAATACCTAAGTATTTTACTTCCGATTTTAAGCTAATTTCTTGTCCATTCAGAGTAAGAGTGTCCAGACTGTCTAGTCCTATTCTCCTTCTAGTGAACGCTACAGAGGTCTCCGTCAACAATTCCTACAGAGGGAGGGGGTAATGAAACATAACATAAACTAACCTGAAATGGGTGGGAATGAAACAAGACGTAAACTAATTTGCCGCACATCTATAGATTGTATAAAATAAATAATTTCTCAGAATTTTATCATTGGCTACCAGACGCATAGCTAAGCATATTTCCAACATCAAAGGTACCACCATATTATAACGCAAATTAGCGTCTTTTTATAAGAACAAAGACAACGTCTGTCGTTATGGCATTATAATTTATAAGAATTTTATCATCGGTCACCAGACGCTTAGGTCAGCATATTTCCAACATCAAAGGTACCGCTATATTATAACGTTTATAGGCTTCAGCATTTTTATTTTTACATAGTATTTTATAATTGCCCACCAGATGCTTAGAAAAGCATCTCGTTAATATTAGTATATTGCTATTAATTTTATATAATTAATATAATTTCTATAATTGGTAATATATTTTTAGAATTAACTATGTGTACGTTCGTCATTGTCGGTTGCTATAATAGTATAATCGCTATTATTATTATTATTATTTTCTACTGCGCTTTTAAAATAATTATATGTGTATCGCGTTTTATTTTATTATATTTAATTTGACAATTTTTTATACCTATAACTAGCGGTATTACATTTAAAGTTGCTTCCCCACCACCAGCACCCACGATTCTTCACTGCCTTTAACATTATATGTATACATTACATTGAAATAGTGTACGTCAAGTAGCGGCCGCCGCCACCACACTTGTCCTTGACTATTCCTTGAACAACTTTTTAACAAACTCTAGATGTTATCGTTGGTTACAATCAAGTAATTGTCACCGTCGAGAAAGTCCTACATACAATCGTTGGTAATAACACTTCGGTGATAACACCTAGGTGGGTAAACCGAATCAAGACAATTGGGTATGAGGTGCGCACAATGGGTGAGACCCAACGAAAACTAACCAAAGTTGGGAGGAGGGGAATCTCCTCTTCCTTCAAGAAATTCTAATGAGCGTGATGAGTAATGAAACTTAACTTAAACTAACCTAATGGGAGGGGTGAAGATGAAACCCGACGTAAATAAACTTGCCGCACGTCTATATATTCTATGTAATAATTGTTAAGCGGAATAATTAAAAATAAATTTTCCATGGTAAGTACGTGTTAATCCTTGAACGTGCCTATAGTACGCTATAGGCACGCTATATTTACGCGTTGAGTCCACGTGTTTGATGTGCCGCACCTTAAACGCAAAAGCTTTCTTCACTGCACATGAGTACATTGCTATATCGCATATATTGTTAAACGAACGCCGCCACCCAGCCTCCGATCGTTTGGGTGGTGTAGCCAAATGAGGTTTTAAAATGATGCTTTAAATTTAAATTATGATAATCATTTTTATGAGAACAATTGCTATCATCGTCTACCAGACGCTTAGGTAATCATATTTTAAACATCAAAGATGTCACCGCACAGTAATAATCACTGTCGTATGCATTTTATGAGAAAAATGGCAAAGTTGTCTTTTTTCACGCCTCCGCGTTTTATTATTTTACTATACAGCCGGTTAAACGCTCTGTATCCTGTCACATACGTGTTTAATTGACGTTAACGCACAGTTGATTATTCGAAAACTATAAATTTATTATTTCAATATTTTACACGTGAAAATAAAAAATCACGAACCAGCAAACGTCTTCTGTACCAGGTATGTAGATTTTTACAATTATTAACATTTTAATATACTTTTATGTCTCTTTAATTTTACCACCCCTAATATTTTTATTTATTTATTTTTTCCAATAAATAAACAATTTATTTTATTTTTTATTAAAGCTACCTCGTTTATATCTGCTTCGTCACATAAAGTGGCTAAACGTCGTAGGGCTAACAACAGCGTTGTTAGATCAAAAAGGTTATGTATGCAGTTGACGGATACCCGCGATTTCACTTTGATTGATTCCGCATTGGAGCGGGGGGCAGTTTAGTTTTATCGGAAGAACGTGGAAAATTTCGCAAGCTATCGGGATTTTCTGCGCGCTGTTAAACCCGATCTGGTCGCCAGACTCGCTGAAATTGTCGGTAACTGTCTGATCAAGTACAATCTCAAATTGGAGGCCTCATTCCATATACCACGATCGAAAGTAACGCCCGAAGACTGTGCCTTCAAGACAGGGGCTAGGGCATTGCTATCCGATACGGATATCGGGTGTGCAGTCAATGAAGATTTTGAGGTTATGCTCGCCGAGGAAGATGCGTACTCGGGTAGGGGTAGCGGATTCATGCTAACGCATATCGACGGCCTTATGCTCAGCGTATACAAGTATACGCCCCTTGCCGACTCACCATATATTTCTGTCCCGCCAGAGATTAATCAAAGAAAAGCAATCATCAATCTACAGAATATCGATCAGTCTTGTTTCAAGTGGTCCATTTTGGCAAGACATATTAGCGGGAGTAATAAATATCGTGTTAATGAAAAATATTTGAACGAGGAATACAGGTATGATTTCATGGGATTGACATTCCCCACGCCTGTGTCCCAAATTAAAATATTTGAGCGACGAAACCCTAATGTGTCTGTTAATGTGTACGGCTTGGTACGAGACGACGTTAAGATGAAGTGGTTGGCGTATCCGTTAAGAGTCGCCGACCAAGATCAACAGAATCATTTTGACCTGTTGTACATCGGTGACTCTGAAAAAACACATTACGCGTACATTCCAGATTTTTCGAGGCTAGTGCGCAGTCAAAAAACTTAACACAAATGCCGCATATACACTTGCAAACGTTGCTTCACCAGCTTTGATGATATGCCTAAAAAGCATATTTTTCGGGGTCAACAAGCGTTGGAGCAACACAAGTTGATATGCGGCAAAAATAAACCAATTTTACCCGTTATGCCGGCAGAGAGCAGTAAGGTCGAATTTGACGCATGGGTAAAGACGCAACGGTTACCGTTCGTCATCTACGCTGATTTTGAGGCCTTGCTGGAGCAAACAGACGATCGTATGGGTGCCTATACTAGGACTGTGCACATCCACCATCCCATGAGCTACGGGTTCATGGTGAAAACATCGAACGATGTGCCCTCCGAGCGCCTCGAACGCTATGGTATACTGCAATCACCGGTAATATACCGTGGCCCCGAGGATCGCGAAGAGGTCGCCAAGGCATTTGTGATGGCTGTAACTGAAGTGACGCGCAACATTTCTAAATTGTTGCGCAAAACCAACGTTCCCATCTGAATGTCTGTCGATGATGTGCGCAGGCACGGGGAGAAAGCGGTATGCAACTTGTGCCGCACGGCATTCAAGGATTCCAACCCCAAATTCGCAGACCACTACCATTTATTCAGATAGACGTTGTGCAATGCGTATAACCTAATGACTCCCGACTTCGTTAAATTCCGGGAGACAGCCAAGGTATTCCGCTCGGAAGACATGCCGTTGGTAACGCGTAAGGGCGTATATCCCTACGATTACACTGATAGTTGGGCTAAATTGAATGAAACAGAGCTACCACCTAAGGACGCTTTCTATAGTCAGTTGAGTGAGTCTAATATCGATGACGACGACTATAGACATGCCACGAAGGTGTGGAACCGTTTCGGCTGCTCAGCCCTCGGTGAGTACAGCGACCTATACTTCAAAATCGACGTGTTGTTGTTGGCTGTTGTGTTTGAGAACTTCCGCGACATCTGTACTTCAACATACAATTTGGACCCGGCACACTATTACACCGCGCCTGGTTTTAGCTTCGATTCTATGTTGAAATACAACAGGATGAAGCTGGAGCTCTTGAACGACTACGACATGCTATTGATGGTGGAACAGGGCATTCGTGGTAGGCTAGTGCAGGCCGCCAAGCACTATGCAAAGGCCAACAATCCTAAGACACCCGATTACGATCCGTCAAAACCAGACTCATGGATCGTGTATCAAGACTATAAGTAATTTATACGTATATTTATATAAACGTGCAATAATTGAGTGGTGGTTTAAAAACGTTTTATGTATATAGGCAATAACCTTTACGGGTGGCCTATGAATCAGCCCATGCCATACGGTGGCTTCCGATGGTATAAAGGAGCAGACCCTCTGGCTGACCTCCAATCATTGTCGGACACTGGTAATACGGGGCGTATATATGAAGTGGACGTATCGTATCCACAATAGCTACATGACAAGCTCAACGACTTGCCGTTCTTGCTTAATAACGATGTACCGCCAGGTTCCAAAGAGACCAAACTCTTGGCCACTTTGAAACCCAAACAGCGGTACGTCGTACACTATGTCAACTTAAAATACTGTGTCATACTAAAACACTATGTCAACGTTAAATACGTGCTGCAAGTCGATAAAGTATGTATAATAAACCTATAAACTATAATGGCTACTTCCCCCATCGCTGACACTAAGTTATAGTGCGCATGCGCACTATAGTTTTTAATCGCCATTTTGAATGACCATAACACACCCACCTTCACCCAAGACTACTCTACCAATTACCTCTATTATCATAAGACCACGCCTCCCCTTTCCCTCCTATCATATGGAGGGTGTGGGGGTGAGGCGGGGGTTATAGAATCTTCAATACTACCCTACTTCAGTACATTATAGAATACTATAGTATATAACTATACGGAATATAGTTCTGAATATTTCAATTGTAGCATCTATTAAAACACGAAGAGTTATATACAAATGATTACTAGGACTTCTATTTAAATGATTTATTACAATAAAAATAAAATAAAAAATACTGATTTTAACGAAATGTTGAGTTATCCTCATAAATTTACTGTTAATACTAAATTATATAAGTTCCTGATCATATATCAATATAAAAATTACAATTTTTTATTTCTTATAAAATTTTCTATTTAATGATATAAATTATAAACTTGTAAGTTGAGCTAAAGTAATGTTTAAAAGTTCAACTTTTCTAAACTATAAACTTTCATAAAAATTAACTTTAAAGGATCAATAAAATAATTTAACAATGACATTTTGAATTGAAATCTTGCATTGATTATTTTTAACATATTAAAAATCAGTAATAACTTGATAAAAAAATGATATTAAATTAAATTCTTTCATGTATAAATAATTGCTTCCTAATTAATAATAATTAATAATAATCTCAAAAAAGATATAATAGAAAAACTCTAATTTTAGGCTTGAAATCAGCGTAAAAATTTGGTTTAGTTAAGTATATATTGGTCTATTATCATTAAAAAATATTTTAATGACAGACAGTAAGACCATATAGTAAAATATTTTAGCATAATTAAGAAATTCTTTCTCACGAGGGGAAACAACAGTGATGGGGTCCTTAATATTCACTGAATATTTTGATTGAATGTTATTTATTATTATTCATTTTGAATTTTTTTTTACCTCAAAAAAGTATGATTTTAAAAATCATAATTTTTTGGTGGATTTCCACCATTTATATATTTAATACTCAAAAATAATTCCGGAACATATTTAAAAGTTCTACTTTTTTTCGTGTTTTTCAAGTTTTTAACGCACGCTGTATAAAGGGAAATTGTTCGATTTAAAAATGACAGATGAATAGTGTTTAGTTGGATAGGATATATACCTTCTCAGACGCGCATGGAAGCTAAAAAAATAATTTTACTATAAAATTTGTCCTTCAATGATTGAAGAACAAAGACTGTTTTAACTGTTAAATTTTATTAATGTAGACTGCCTATATTGTTTTGAAAAAACTTTTGTACCCTTTTATAGTTAAAATGCAAATTATAATACATCAATAGTTTTAATAAACAATATTATTTTATAATTAAAACATAATAATAAAATAATTATTTTATGAAAAATTATATAATTAATAATAAATTTTATTAATTATTAGTTTAAATGTAAGTATTTTTTTCTCACCAGCAGCAGTTGACAATCCTTCTCCAAAAGCACCACTAAAAAATTTGAAAAATTTACCTTTGTCGAGAGCATTGGAATTGTTCAATATTATCTGAAAAATAATTAATACTATTTTTCTACATAAGAAAACATTTTTTTTTATTATATAATATCTTATTATATAATAAAACAAGGAAAAAATCGCTTTTCTGGGAAAATTACTTAGCGTACTCGCATTTTTAAAATTTTTTTTTCAACGAAAGTACTGGGTCATCAGACTCCGGGAAAAATATTGGCGAAGGTCGGAAAAATTTTGCCGCTCTCCCGCGAGCGTTTTAAAATTTCGACCGTTTTCGAGAAAAACGCTCGCTGACACCAGCGTTTTACGACTAAAGGTTTGAAATTTTCACCAGACCCGCCCAATGACATTCCTGAGATATGATAAAAAAATCAATTCAATCCGTTCAATTTTCACCGTTTTACGAGGTTTTTTTTTTTTTGTCCACGCTCAAGGTTTTAATATGCGCATTGACTCATTTCTGCTCAAACGTTTATTCTGAATCTTAATTATATGGTGTAATATGTATTTTTATTAGGACACTATTTTGTATTTGCACATAGCATTATATTTTATCGAGAAATATTAAATGTTACATATAAATTTTAAGATAGTTATAATTATATAAGTTTCTACTTTATCAGTTTATGTTTATCAGAACAGTACATTGTTAATAATCTATTTTTTCTCATATATGATATATGAGTCTATTAGTTTATCGTTTAAATTGGCATTCATCTAAGACAACTATGCTGTCCAACGTTAAATCGCAGTTACCAATATTTTTATCAAAATTAAATTTTTTACATAGTCTCACGTATAATAACCTGCTAAATTTTTTTGTAATTATTCTATAATATAAACACAATTATTATAATTAGAATATTAATATTTTTTATGCATACCAGGGGTGTATTTAAGGGAGATATGGCCCCCCTTGAACCAGCGCTATCAATATTTTTTTAGGCAACTTATAATAAATAAGGACCCAATGTCCTTTTTTTTCATCATTACTTTGATTTTTAGCAAAAAAAATTCTATAACATGTTTAACAAAGTACAAAATATTAAATACCCTCTTAAAATAATTTTTGAATAAGCCTAAAGGGAATACCTCATTAACAAACGTCAACTTTATACCCAATACATTTTACTATATTCTCTTTTTGAATTTTCTTGATTTTAATAATAATATTTTTAATATATTTTTGTTACACTGATTCTGATGTAATATTTTTTCTGCAAAACACTTATCGTGCTCGGCGCAGCCGGGTACCCTACCAGAATCAGTGGCCTACTTATGATGACGGCACGAAGAGGCTTACGCACTTTCGGCGTGTAAAGCTTGTAGGGCCCTGGGTCTGGGGCGGAGCCCCAGCTAGGTGGAGCCTAGTATCAAAATAATAAAAATAATATATTAAAAACCTACTAAAAAATGTGATATTTTAATTTTTAAAAATTGTCATAAGTATACATTTTATACTGATTACTGTGTATACATTACAAACTTGGCATTAATACCATGATAAGAAATTAGATAAGGCAATTATTACTTATCACTCTCATTCAAAAGTATAAGTCATATTCATGGAAAAAGTTACACACCTCCAAATTATAGTAATCATGAAAAGATAGCGTTTTCTTCTGTCCTTTTCTCAATACGTATTTCAATGTTTAATACCGTAAAATAGTACATTAAAATTGAAATTTTCACAAACTTCAAAACGCTACAGAATATTTACTACTGAATATTAATAAAATATTTTTTTACTAAAATTTTTCTTAAATTCTACTCTACAAAATAGCTATCTTAGATTTTTTTTTTACATTTTATTTAAAATTTAAAAATAATTAATATTTTTAATAAAATGTAAAAAAATTAATTATTGAGATATAGCTATAGACCTAACGTCTAACTAATATTTAAAAAAAAAATCAACTAAAAATATTAACTGGATCNTTTTCTTAATAAATAGCCCACAAAACCACTACATACAGTAAAAAACATGTAAAAGTCTTAAAATACGTTATAGCTGATTTTGTTGATTTTTAATTATTTATTTTCATTTTATTTTTTGGAAAACGCATATTCGTTTAAAAAAAGATTCTAGAAGTTTAATTTTTTATGCCGATGGCGATCGTGGCGCTTCCTCTTCCCGTGCTATGCGTGGTGCGAACCGGTCGCTCGGGTGCTGGACAAAAAAATGATAGATACTTACTTAAATTATCTTTTCATCTGTCACCTTGACCTTTTTCAAGCAACGGAAGATATATTATTTAATCTTTGTAATTAGCATATTGTTCTTCTGTGTAATAAAAACACCCTAGCTGTATTACTTGCTATTATATTTATTAAACTGACTACATCAAATCCTAATGTAAAAAGTTTTCAAGTAAAAATATTTTTCTAAATATTGACCAGAGTATAAAAGACCATTTTTCCTAAAAGTAAGGCTACTACGGCTTGCTGGTGAACTTGGTCGATATTCTCTTAATCTGCGTTAGTATAAGTAAAAATTTTATCCCTACGACTTCTTTCGTACCATAAATGATGAATATTATTTTTAGATGATTTAAAATATTTTATCCAGGAATATGTCTTGTTTATTTTTACATAAACATCGCCATAAGAAATTAATTTTTTTTTTATATTTACTAATTTCAAAATGTTTGTGTCTTTCATTTCTGGACAGCTTTAAATATTCCAAAACGAGCGAAGAAGCATAGTACTGTAATTATTATTAATTAATATAGCAGTAGTACTTTATGCCCGTTTACCCACTAGTGGAAACGTTAGGTCCTACTCTTTTGGTAACGTATAAGCATTCGGGGTAAAGACTAACACTGGAAATACAAGTGTGCTTCAATACTTTGAAGTGTACTATTTTCATTGTCAAGAAAGTTCTGGATATAGATCATTACTAAATATATATAGTACGTAATAACGATAGGAAACTATACCTTGAAGTACTGTGTACCAACCAGTTCACGTAAATTATATCAAGATAAGTATTGTTATACATTAACTGGGTTAACTGTGTCCGTGCCAACCAAGGCTTTATACTGAAAAGACCTGGGCCACCACAGTCTTGTTGATTATATTTTGAATATAGATAGACATATTCTTATTATTTAACATTTAAAATTTCAGGGCGAGTTTAAGAATATTGATATCGACTATATGGAATTTATCGAAAACATTATTAAGTAAAAATTTAATTTTCTATGAAAAGAATTTAAAAAATAATGAACCATAGTAGATGCATGTCCCATTGTAAAGAATCCCTTTAAGTGCATATTTTACGAACCGTGTATATTGACGAGGTAATAAAACAGATAAATATCTAACATACACATAAATATAATTAATTGAAAAATTAGTAAGATCGTATAAACTTTTGTTCTCCTAAAACCCCATACACAATTAAACTTACTTTTTCTTTAAATTATTTAATTTTTGTTTATAACAATACTGTAGACAACATCAAAACGTACTTGTATATCTTCTGGCTTCATAACATATAAAGCAAGTGAAGAACCTAACCAAATTTTACATGGTTCCGGGCCGTACTGTTCATTTAACTTAATCATTTTTGCCACTAAATCTAAAAATTAACTTATATGTATTTACACTACGCTAAACGTTCAGTAAGTAAAGAAACAGGTCAATTGTTATAAACAATGAGAACAATAGAAACCCCTTTCCTTACTTACTGAAAACTCTATACAGGGTGTTCACTAAGTCAGGAAACGGGTTTCTATTGTTCTCATTGTTTGTAACAATGAGAACAATAGAAACCCGTTTCCTGATTTACTGAACACCCTGTATATATACATGTTTATTTTAAACAATAATGATAGCTAGCTACATATACAAAGTTCTCATTTTATAAATATCAATTTATTATTATTATTTATTAAAGGTATATTTATTGTAGCTCGTAATGGTATATTGTTAAAATGCATACCCCGCTCGCACTACATTTTGAACAAATGAGAGAAATGNTAAAATGCATACCCCGCTCGCACTACATTTTGAACAAATGAGAGAAATGAGATATGAAAACATTTTTGGGTATACATAAGTTTTATTAATTATTGTTTTGATTTTTACTAAACTGATATAAATACATTAATTGTTTTATGAGTTATGATGACCTATTGCAATTTTGAATTAGATTTTTTTAGCTTCGATGCGAAGCTGAGAAGGTATTAATTTTACCATGATGTGTTTATTTTTTTATTTTTTTATTTTTTTTTTTTT